TCCAATAGGTTCCATCTCGCCTATTCTATTCATCTCCCGGCTTCCTGCATTTAATAAGAATTAATGGTTACTAAGATTAAGCAGAATAGCCTGAAAAGTAACTTTAAATGGCATCCAAAAATAGTTTGTCAAAATTCGCTCCAGTGTTGCTAAATGGGGCATTTGTCTTTCCTCCATCTTTATCTATATTGTGTGAGTCAACATCAGAGAACTTTCCAACAAGGCATGTTCTATGGCTAAGACAAATCTTAAAAATCAAAGGTCCTCGTGCTCCTAACAATGCTGGCAGTGTTCAGATATCACGCTGAAGGATATCTTCCTTTAGAGAAGGAAGCTAACTGCCTCCAGGGCTTGAATGCTCTCCTCCTCTCCTTCCACACGGGGCCAGAGATTTGATGGAATTCAGAGGCAGTTACTCCCTATTTTAGTAAATATCATACGCGCTTCATGTTAACCATGGTTAGGTCCAGCAAGCCATGGTTTCAACCCATGGTTTTTGAAGTGGGTTTGCTTAAACTAGCCAAAGTTAACGATGATCTCAGTTCCAGGTACAGGCAACACAGCAATCTGTGGTTACCAAAAGGCATAAAGTCCTCTTTGAGGAGAGGACAAGAGAGGAGGGGAAGGAGACGCATGAGCACACAGGAGGTTCATTCACTTCTTGCTAACCCAAGTTGAGCATGATGTCTGAACACAGTTGTTTAATGCATTGCCATTGTAAAAGGAGGTGATGGGACCAGTGATGTGGGACCACTGGTCCCATCACCTCCTGGCAAATAGAAGGGGAAGAAATGGAGGCAGTGAGAGACTTTACTTTCTTGGGCTCCATGATCACTGCAGATGGTGACAGCAGTCACGAAATTAAAAGACGCCTGCTCCTTGGGAGAAAGGCAATGGCAAACCTAGACAGCACCTTAAAAAGTAAAGACATCACCTTGCCAACAAAGGTCCGTATAGTAAAAGCTATGGTTTTCCCAGTGGTGATGTATGGAAGTGAGAGCTGGACCATAAAGAAGGCTGATCGCCGAAGAATTGATGCTTTTGAATTCTGGTGCTGGAGGAGACTCTTGAGAGTCCCATGGACTGCAAGAAGATCAAACCTATCCATTCTTAAGGAAATCAGCCCTGAGTGCTCACTGGAAGGACAGATCATGAAGCTGAGGCTCCAATACTTTGGCCACCTCATGAGAAGAGAAGACTCCCTGGAAAAAGACCCTGATGCTGGGAAAGATGGAGGGCACAAGGAGAAGGGGACGACAGAGGACGAGATGGTTGGACAGTGCTATTGAAGCTACCAACATGAGCCTGACCAAACTGCGGGAGGCAGTGGAAGACAGGAGTGCCTGGCGTGCTCTGGTCCATGGGGTCACGAAGATTCGGACACGACTAAACGACTAAACAACATTGTAAAAGGAAAAATAAAAAGCTGACTGCCACTCAAGTAGCAGTCTCGTTACCTCTTTGATGAAATATTTTGGTTTCCAGACCGTATTGCTAATTGCTCGCTGCCTTTCCTCTACTCGCTGCCGCTCCTCAAGAAGCTGTTTGTGGTCTGTTGCTGCGCTGATGTTGCCTTCTCTCAGGGCGTTCGTAACGTGTTGCCAAAGATGCCTGTCGAGTAGATCAGACCAGGACATAAAGGGAATTGGAGAGAATGAAGAAAATTGCCAGTCCGCTTTTTGGAATGGAAAGGAACCTCCTAGCCAACAGGTGGAAAACAATTGAAGCCTAGCAGGAGGGAACAGCATGCAACTCTAGAATCAGCTTCTTGTTTTTACTTTAATAATTTTTATTAAAGATTTTCTTGGTTTACAAAACTACATGCCTTGTCTCTTTTTCGGGTTGTACAGTCTTTCTTACAGATCAGTTAAATTTGTTATGAGACATTAGTGTTGAGTCGGGGAAGAGGAGGGGTGGTGGGGAAACCTATATAATTTTTTTATAGTGTACATGTGGGGTTTTGTGTCAGTGTCAACCGAATAGGTTGTATTTCTATTCACTTGTTACATTTCCTTGGTCATGAGAGGGATTGGGGGTCCGGGGTGTGGTTGGTTGTCTGTGGCTGGTTGCAGTTTGGGTTTGTTTACATTTGGGGAGGGGGGGGGCTTGTTGGCTCAAGAAAGCCAGATTGATTCATATGTTGTCAGTGGGTTCTTGTCGTTGTCTTGTTGGGCTGTGCATGTGATAAAGGGAAGCCATACTTGGGGAGAGGTGTCCTCTTCTATTTGTCCCTGTGTCAGTTTCTGTTTGTTGGTTAGCTTTTCTAGTTTCCCATACAATTTGGTACCAGTGGCCCATGTTTACTCCTGTCAGGTCTCTCCACTGTCTGGCTATGAGGCTTCTACCCGCTGAGAGTAGGTGGGTTATAAGCTCTGTATAATGTGAGTGGTCATTATGATCTTGGAAAGATGTTCAGTAGGGCCAGTTCTGGGGTTAGTTATAATACCTGTTTAGTTAATCTCTTGCATATCTTGTTAATCTTGTTTGTGTATCTCTTGTTGGACTGCTGTCCAGAAAGGTTGGATTTTGGGTCATGTGGAGGTATGTGCCTGAGAAGGTGCAGCCTCTACAACATTCTGGGCATATCAGCACCAGCTTTCGTGGTGTTAAGTACAGTCGTACCTTGGATATTGAACGGCTTAGTTGCCAACCTTTTGGCCCTGAACGATAACCGGAAGCGAGTGTTCCGGTTTTCAAACTTTTTTTGGAAGCCGAAATCCAACAGGGCTTCTGCGGTTTCCGATTGGCTGCAGGAGCTTCCTGTAGCCAATCAGAAGCTGTGCTTTGGTTTCCGAACATTTTGGAAGTCAAAAAGACTTCAGGAACGATCCCCCCTTTTCTCTGGGCTACCCATCATTCTCCATCAGTTAGTGAGAAAAGGAATTGTATCTGAAAATTAGTGCAGGGCGGCAACATTTGGGAACAAAATCTCTGTGAAATTTTCATGGGTGGAGTGTGCGAATGTCATTGAGCTTACCTATAACTCTTGTTTTGTCTGCACTGACTTGGCAGCAACTCTCAAGAATTTCAGACAAAGAGTTTCTTCCAGCCCTACCTGAAGATCCCGGGACTCTAATTTGGGACCATTGCATACAAGAGAGATGCTCTGCCAATGAGCTATGATGGCTCTTCCCTAAACTACAGCCCTTCTCCCAATGATATCAATGTATTACGTGACTTTTCTTCTTGCTTGTTCTGGGCCCTCCGTATTAGAGGGATAAACATTCAACAAATAAAAATAACATCTACAGGAAAGCAGTTTCCAAAGAGCCTTTGTGCAGCAGCAATTAGCACAGTGGGTGGAAGAACCCCCATGCAGGCAGAATGTCAGCATGCTGATTCAGCATATAAGTCATTGGAAATAAACCGAAAACTTGGAAACATCCTTAGGGAAGCAAGATGTTGCTCTTTCCACACTGCTGTACAAACAGGGACAAGTGCTTCAATATATCCTTTCTTTTCCTGCTTCTCTTAAGCGCAACTAGTCATGATGGTTTTGCAAAAGCATCCTCACCTTGATTCAAATGGACCTTGTTTTGCTATCGGTCTGATCTTCTTGCGGATGATGGGTAGCTTGGTGGTGTCGATTATTTTGGTTTCTCCGTTGCTGTACGTAAACTCCAGCGTGCCGTTCCACTCCCCTTGTGCTTTACACACTATGGTGTTCGTGGGGTTATGCTTCACCTCAGCTGTAACCCTGCATCAAAATGATAAAACATGGAGATTAAGACACAGGTGAGTCCAGAAAGGAAATCACTTGCATGCACAGCAAATATTTCCACTGGACTCAAACTCAGAAAAGGAGGCCAAGAATAATCATTTTGTTTTTTTAGAAAAACCGCAACAAGAACAATTCAGAGACATTTCTGAAGCTGGAGAGCACTCAAGTTGCTACATTCATTATGTATTGACCGCATTCTCATAAACTTGATGTCTCCCATTAAACAAAATACCGAGGGACCATTGCTTCTATGCAAATGTATTGGCCAATTTTGCGGCTCCTAGCTTAGTCTGGATATATTTTTTTTAAAAAAAAGAGGGGGCACACTAAAGAACTATCTTGTTCTTGCCACAGTGTCCTTTCTTTTCATCTGATTTACTTCCCTGTGGGTTGGCGCTTCACATTTCACACAGCACCCAGAGTTAAAATATGGTGATTAGGGTTTGGACAATATATCAAAACCCATTTGAAGTCCATATCGTGATACCAGTCTCACAATTTTCAACCTGGTAATATAATGTAAATCGTGATGTATGTGTGTGCGCATGCGCTATGCAAAAATCACGATGCAGGGGAAATTGTTGCAGCCAGCCAACCCTCTCCCCCTTATTTCAACGATTGTGATATTAGCGATATGTTGCGATATATACTTGGTGATTATATCACGATGCTGCGGGAAAACAGGTATCACCCGGGCCTGCTGTTCACCTCTACACAGTTTCCACATCCTTATTTCAGACACTGTGATATATCGGATATAATCACGATGTTTAGCTAGTGATAGACCGCGATGTTGAAAACCAGGTATCTCCCAGTCCTGATGGTGATATGGATTCAAGACCCTGTGAAGTTTTCAGCCACTGAGTGCCTGGGAGTCTCCTTCAGTTCCCTAAGCTGCAGGAATGGAACAGCCTCAAATACGAGCACATGTTGTTGTTCTTCTTATGAAAGCATACAAACAATTGCTTGCAAAGCACATTTCTAAAGTAGTATAAAATCACTAGCAACTGCAGCATTATAAACAGTAAGCAGTTTGGCAGTTTAATATTGCTTGTCTTAGTATTTTATTTTTTCCCCCACAGAGCAATCTTTAGAAAAGAAAAATAAAAGTTGGCGAAAGAGCAGTTTCCGTACCTGTGTACTTTTCCCCCATAGAAAGGCTTGTGTGGAATGTGACTGTAGCGAATAGCCACTCTTGGCACAGAGAATGCTCACTTTACCTCCCAGCTCCACCCAAGGAACGCCGTTAAGAATGGAGCGAGCATAGGCACAAGGCAGCGTGAACACATATTCCTCCCCATGTTCCAGCAGATAAAGAATACCTATGGATGGGGGCAGAAATGGGGGTGGGGGGGATGGAGAGAAATACTTTTCAGCAACTGAAAATTTTGACAATATTCTTTCCAGAAGGATGATCACTGTTTACCTGGTACTGAAAAGAAGCAACATAGTTTATAGTAAATGTTATCTATTTTTATTTTCCTTGAAGGGGAGGAGAAACACCAAGACTGATATAAGAGGAACGATCTCCACCAAGAATAAGAATGCTTTTCGCAACTGCCCTTTTGTAAAATCCTCTTTTCTTGGGGTAATTTGGTTTTAAAAGGCTACAAAATTTAAAACGAAAAACCAGACATGACTGGTGAAGCCATTCAAGCAATCCAATCTGGTCTCCACATATCCAATCTATGTCTCCAATCTATGTCTCAACATAGCTGCAAGCTTAAAAAAAAAAGTTGTGTTATATTCCACCCCGCCAAAGAGAAAAGTGCCTAACTTCTAAAGTCGCTCTCCTGAAAATTTGATAAAATAACGTATCTATCCCACTTCCTGCCAGCTTTGAATAAGAAGCCTACGTGCAGTGGAAGTCCCACCATGAGAATGACCTATTTGCTTAGATTCAGCCAAAACGTCAGGTACTATCTGACTTGCATATGAGGTGCCTAATATGGCAAAGTGATACCAACTGCAGGTAGCCTGGCAGTACATCTAACAAGGCTCCCCTAAAACAATATTTTAAAACCCAATAGGAGCCTGTTGGATCTCACCAAAAGACCCATCTAGTCATCATCCTCACGGTGTCCCAAACAGATCCTGCCTCTGGAGAAACCTGCAAGCAAGACTCAAGTCTTGAGCAGTCAAACCAGAGACCCTTATACTGTATCCACCATCGTTACCATTAACTAGAACTGACAGTATGAATTGAATGAATACATTCAGCACACACAGAAAAATAAAAACACAGATTTGAGCTGGACATGTATCCTGGGATATAGTCCCAGGATCCTTGATTTGGGCATTTAATTGTGAACAAATGTTTCCAAATTCCCTAGGCAGAAATCTGAAGCAGGTCCAAGTTATTGTCATTGCTTATGTGAGACAAGGAAAGCTCTCTACAAGCATCCATTATATATACTGCTAAACGTATTATTTCCCCCCCCCTGTGACCCCATACTTTTGAGCAACATGTTTTCTGCAGGTCACATCGATAAAATACACAAGGTGATGCTGTAGGTCAAAAACCATGGGTCTGCAGTTGTTTTTTAGACTACAACTCCCATCATCCCTAGCTAGCAGGACCAGTGGTCAGGGATGATGGGAACTGTAGTCCCCAAAACCGCTGGAGACCCAAGTCTGGGAAACCAATTAAAGAGTTGGTGACAAAGTCATAAGGAGTCAGAATCAACATTCTCTTTCGATTCTGTTCAGATTCATGCAATGAATGGTTGTGGAAGACGTCAGCAGTCTTAAGTGGTTTCCTACAAGAGAAGGGTCCTCACGCACATCTCTTATTTTTCAATCACATGGTACTCGCTTAGGCCACAACTTCAGTCACTTACGACAACCAGCAGCTACACTGATTTGCAGAACGAAAATAACTGTGAGCAGCACGGCGAATGACGCACATATGATGCAACGCCATCATCACATGAGTATTTCTCTTCAATCCTAACAGCATGCAAACATTAAAGCCAAAATTCAACAAACCCAGATTAAGAACAAAGCAGGAAGCATCTTACAACCAGGAGGAACGGAATCAAACTTTCACATATTAAAAACCGTTAAAAGTTGTGCAGAATAGAAGCATGATCACTCCCCACCTATAAGCAAGCAGAGAGACTGATACCACCTGGGAAGACACTAATAATTTATTCCAAACTGCTTTTTTCCAATGAGCTTAAGATCGTGACAGTCTGTATACACTGCTATCCTAGCAAATAAGGATTGGACACATGAGGGCTTGCCCTCTGAATTCAAAATGAAGGCTTCTTTCACACATTCCCAAGGAGAGAAGAGATGAGCAAATTCATACTTCCCAGCGTGAAATTAATTTCTCAACTTGGGGAGGCTCGCCATAAAGAATCTCTCGTATATTAACTTCCAATCAGCATGTTTTGTGAGGGTTTTTTCCCCTTTTGGCAGACCATGAAGTACAGTTGGCCTGGAAGCAGTTGCAGATCCAACATTATTCCAACATTCTTTATATCAGTCTTCTCCAATGTATTTCTCTCCAAATATTGTTGAACTCCAGCTCCCATCAACCCTAGCCAACACCATTAAGGGTCAGGAATTACGGTAGTTGTGGTTCAGCAACATCTGAATTGGGACACGGGTGGCGCTGTGGGTTAAACCACAGAGGCTAGGACTTGCCGATCAGAAGGTCAGCGGTTCGAATCCCCATGACAGGGTGAGCTCCCGTTACTCAGTCCCTGCTCCTGCCCACCTAGCAGTTCGAAAGCACTAAGTGCAAGTAGATAAATAGGGACCGCTTTATAGCGGGAAGGTAAACGGCGTTTCCGTGTGCGGCACTGGCGCTGGCTCGCCAGCTGCAGCTTCGTCACGCTGGCCACGTGACCCGGAAGTGTCTTCGGACGGCGCCAGCTCACGGCCTCTAGAGCGAGATGAGCACGCAACCCCAGTCGGACACGACTGGCCCGTACGGGCAGGGGTACCTTTACCTTTACCTTTATGCCCAGTAGACATTGTTTGCATTCTGCACTTGAGTACCAAAGTAGCATGAAAAGGTGCCCTTCAACTCTCTCCTAATGCTCTGATATTAACCTGAGCTCAACACAAATGCTTCTACTTTTAGTGTTGCCTTTACAAGCCATTCAAGTTAATGGCTTTCCTTGCAGTCACTCACTGTATGGAAGTGGCTCTTCCTATTCTCATACTGGAAAATTTGCATGAGCAGAGTCACATGAGGACATTTACCAGCTGGTCTCCAGAAAACTGAATGGGTGCCTGAACTTTCAAGGTTTGGGGGAGGGACCTATGTGCAACAAATTAAAAACAAAAGCAAAGAAACACAAACAGGACTCTTTGCAGTTTGGAAAGCGATGGAAAAATCCATTGAAACAGATGAGAATTGAGAAGATGTGTAAACTCCTTGTAAGTAAATCAGGATGAATGCTCATTGTCATACCACCTGGTAAACCAGGCATAGGCAAACTCTGGCCCTCCAGATGTTTGGGACTACAGTTCCCATCATCCCTGACCACTGGTCCTGTTAGCTAGGGATGATGGGAATTGTAGTCCCAAACATCTGGAGGGTCAGAGTTTGCCTATGCCTGTGGTAAACAAATGAGAACTAACGTTCAGACTACTGCTATGTACACATTAGCACCTTAAAATGCAATCTCATCCTTTTGATGTGTTTCAAGTCACACCTGCATGTTTTGTGCACATCAGAGAAGGGGTGGGATTTGGTTTTCTTAACCGTGCAACCCCCTCCGCCTGAACCTCCTATTCCTGAAGCTGTATTCTGCATATAATGCACAACACCTGTTTCAAATGTATGAACCTCAACTTGACTGTGAAGTGAATGTGACTTAAGTTATTTATTTAGAGGCTGATTATTGGGGAAACTTATCTAGCAGCAGTATTTCTCCAGAAATCACAGGCTAGCTGTGGCTTGTGGCTAATATTGTGCATGCACAGCTTCAAAACCCAGTGGCGAAAGCTCAATGGCTGCAGAGTGATATGTAAACAGTCAACCGCTGCATAAATCAGAATGAATGCTGAACAAACAGGTCTGCAGAAAACCCAGTGTTTGCACGGAATTCCAGTGGAGAGCATACAGTTCACCCACTAGGTGGCAGAAATCTGCCATCAGCAGAGAAATGGGGCGGGGGATCACTTTTATTACAAAGGGCAGTCTGAATAAATATAGTTGGAATAACAACTTAGTATGTATCGATTAAAATCAGTTACTTTATTGCAAGAGAGAACGTCAGAGTGAATTATTCCTAAGCCTGCAAAGGCAAAAACGTCACTTAAAAGGTTTCTCGTTGTTTCAGAAAAGGATAATTTGAATTAAATGAATTCCCCTGGCCTCTTCATTGGTAACTCTGTGGTCGCGGTCCTCGAGAGACAACTTAGCCATACATGGAATGATCATCCACCGAGGAGCAGCGTGGCCTTGGGCGCATTTAGTCAGAAGTAAGGCACGCAAAAGTTGGGAGACACGCAGTCAGACGGGCGGCAGAAATTAAAAGAATATTAATGCGTTACATCTGCGTGTTTCCCCCTCCCATAGAGGCGTAGCTGCGCCCAAGTCGCCTGCCCCAATGGTGGCAACAGGGAAGTCAGAAGCAGGTTGAAACATTCTCGGAGTCGAGTGGATTTCATGCTCTTTATTCAGCTCATAGTAGTGAGGAATGGAAGTTCCCCCATTAAGTCTGCTTTATATACATTCTTTACACAATGGGCCCCACGTGATTGGCTAATTATGGGATTCTCCTGTAGGCCAATCAGGTTGTGGATTCACTTCCACCTGGAGCTGGATTGGGTGGCTCCTGTGGACCAATCAGACTGCTGCATTCTGGGTCCTATTGTTCTAGGACCAATCAGACTGCTGCATTCTGAATCCTATTGTTCTAGGACCAATCAGACTGCTGCATTCTGAATCCTATTGTTCTAGGACAATCAGACTGCTGCATTCTGTCCTATTGTTCTAGGACAAATCATACTGCTGCATTCTGAATCCTATTGTTCTAAGACCAGACTGCTGCCTTTTGGATCCTATTCAACTCAGTACATAACACAGGCAGTTGCAAGACATTCCCCCACGTGCAAAACACGTCCATCTGCGTTGCAGCAAAGGCAAAAATATTCCCATTGTTTTAATTTTTAAAAAATGGCATTGCCTGCTAAGCGGCCCA